CGCTGTATTGTTGTTTTATTCTTTACTGATTCATGATTATGCTTTAATTGTTTTGTGTATTATTTGGATAATAGCAACGATTTCTACCGCCACCAAGGAGGTTATGTATTCACCGATAACTGTCTGGGAGTCTATTCCAGTTTGTTTTTATTATCTTTGTTGAGAATTGATAATAAAATACGCGACGACTTGGTAACGAAAGTTTGGCACAAGTTTTTTTAGATCCAGCTGTAGGGGGCGTCCCATTTTTCGTATTCCCACCATGCATTTCGGTGGAACACGGTGGAACACTTTTTTTGTGTGGAGAACTCTATCTTGTATTTCTAGTATCTTTGACAGAACTGCATTTATTCAGATGTAGGGGACGCCATAACACAATACATAACAGTGGTGACAGTAGTAATAGCCCGGCCCTATTAATAATATTAAAAGCTGAAGAAATAGTAGTATAGTAGTAATATTAAGAAGTAATTGGTGGTATTTAGTAGTGGTGGCGGTGATATTGGTAGTAGTAGTGGTAGTAGTGGTATGGTAGTTGCAGATCAAGTAGTGGTTGTAGTAATACCACCACCACTGTCGGAACCGCACCGGCCGCACCACCAGATATGGCCGGACCACTTTTACTCAATAATATTACTTTTTTTTAAAATAAATATAATACTGATGTCAATTATTTTTTAATAATAATGTATCTAATTGTCTTTTTAATGTTATACCTCAACAACATATACATGGACTTGTTGTATTGCCTATGTACATTTCAACTTATATGACAATCCTTACTTTTAGTAACTAAGATTGATTTTGAAAAAGTTAGTATAAATATAAAATAACAATTAACTATTTATAAAATGTTGGTGGGTTGGAGTCTACCAAATTGCCATAACCAAAGAAAGGTATACGGGTAAAAACACCCTCGTACCCGGTGACCAAGACAGCTATGGGGACCTCTGTGATTTGCTATTTTTTTTGCTAATGACAAAGCAGAGAAGCATGCTCTCATCAAAGTTGTTAGGCCTATAATGGCACTATTACTCACATACTGTATATGATTTATGTTTACTGATCAGGCGACTAAACTTTTAATATAGTAAATGTATGATATAATACAGTAGGCATGATGTACTACGTATTTTATGACTATTAAGTACGGTAGATAATGTATCTGTATAATACATTGTATAATACATAGTATGCAATCAATATTTTCGGCCCAAAATATAAGAATGGTATAGCAAATTGTACTGTGGATTACTTCAGTAAAATAGTTTTAAAATTGTTAATAATTCCATTTCATAATATATTTTTTTCTGCCAAAAAATTCCAGACTTCAAAATATAGGGATCATGTTCAGCGAGGGTGATTTTACTATAGATCACTTCAGTTAAAGAGTAATTTTGTTAACTGTATGCTGGTGGTGGATATGCTCTCAGGCGCCACTAACTTTGAAATCTTGTATCCGTTTACATAGGGGTAGCAGGCCAATTTAATAAACATTTTTAAGCCCCCCCCCCCCCCCCACCCACCCCTCCACCCATCTTACTATAATGGCCTCACCACTTGAAAAATTCTTCCTACGGCTATGAAGAGCTACGAATTGCAAGCAGACTCTAAAATTGATCATATAAGCTTTTGAACCGCGGCTCCCTAAATTGTCATATTTTTGGGGGATTTTCCCCCTGGACCACTTTCGAAGGATTTTTAGCGACGACCGACTTCGCCCACTTTGCTCTCGTTGGGGGCATCAGTCCTCATATGTCGGGCGCTTTATCCTCCCCACCCCCCTGCCCTGTCAGGTAAATCCTGGCGCCACACCTGATCGCAAGTCAAGTATCCATAATTCAAGAAAAAATCCCAGAAAAATAAAACATCAAGCAATACAACGGAACAAAAATTAGATACACAAAAACAATAAACACATAACATAAACCAATGAATTGTAAGGTATAGAGCCGTTAATGTTTGTGGTATTCTTAGAGCCGTTATTAAACGAGAGTGTCGTTTAAAATTTAACTATGCGACTTTTATTATAGTCTCGTTGCATTGGAATGAAAACTTCTTATGAAGGTGGTGGTGGTGGTGGTGGTAGTAGTAGTAGTAGTAGTAGTAATAGAAATAGTCTGACAGATTCCTAGTAGTAGTTCTTGTGTGCTGTAATAGCAGACACTTACCAGATTGAACCACGATAAGCATTATTCCTCCTTTCTCCAATTTATCAAACATGAACAAAATGTCTTCTTTTAAGTTGTCTACATAGTATATGGAATCCACCAAGTTAATGTGGTGAAATTTCTGATCATTTCCAGCTGATTCAAGTTGTTCTCTAAACTGTTGAAACGTACTGTTGAACCAAGAAAACTTGACGTTGTTCCACTTGCCTTTTACTGTGCTTTGGTATTCGGTAATCGCTTTGGTGCTTGGCTCAACGACTGTGTTCTCAATGGTTGAAAAACGATTTAACAATTGCTTAATGAAAAGAATCTCGATTTCACCTATAGAAAGAAAGAATTTTCTAACGTAATTGATTTACAGGTTCATTTTGTACAGGACCTGACTAAGATTTGCATGTACTAAATTTAGGAGAGATATCTCAATTGGAAATTAGCTTAAATATGCAAAATAGGGGACACCCCTTTTTTTGTTGGAAGTGCTATATTAACGGTAGTCTAGTCAGGCTGAACATGTTGCAAACAAAGGCTTTCTTAATTTAATGAACACATATGATGAGGGGATACAATTTTAGAAATCACACTGTGGTCACATGTCCTATTCATAAGCAAATTAGCTTAAATATGCAAAGAATAGTGTTCACGCCCCTTTTTTATTTGAGGCACTATATTTAGCCATAGGCTAGGCCATCTGAATATATTTCAAATAAGAATTTTTCTTTTATAAATGAACACGAACACATATGATGAGGGAATAACATTGCAGAAATCACACTGTGGTCAGATATCCTGTTCATGTACAAATTAGCGTTTAAAGCACTACTTTAAATAGTAGGCTAGACAATATAAACATTATTGCAAACAAGGTTTTTCTTTTATAAATGAACACATTGTGATGAGGGGAACACGTCCCGTCAAATGCACTTGACTTGGGGTCACGCCTCTTTTTATTTGAAGCGCTACTTAAAACAGTAGGCTAGACAGTCTAACATATTGCAAACAAAAGTTTGTCTTTTATATTATAAACACATATGATGAGTGGATCACATTTCAGAAATTTTACCTTCATCACACGTCCCATTCGGATTGTCTAGCTTAGTGTTTAAGGTAGCACTTAAAGTAACAAAAAAGGGGGTGTATCCCATAGTTTTGCATATTAAGGTAATTTGCATATGAATGGGACATGTCACCACCGTTTAAATAAAATAAAAAAATTTAAAAAAAATTCTCACATTGGTGTGATATCTGAAATTTATCTACTCATGTGTTTATTCATAAAAGAAAAGCCTTGTTTGCAAGTCCAGATTGCCTAGATTACTGTGGAAGTAGTGCTTTTAATCAAAAAGGGGGCGTAATTCCAATTTCTTTGCATTTTTAAGCTAATTTGCATATGAACAGGATATCTGACCACAGTGGGATTTCTGCAATTTCATTCCCTCATCATATGTGTTCATTTATAAAAAAAAAAACAAAAAAAAAACAACCTTACCTGCAATATATTCAGATGGTCTAGCCTACAGCTAAAATGTAGTGCCTCAAATAAAAAACAACCAATGTAAGAAAAAATAGTAGCCCAAGTTGTCTTTGTGTGGGTTTTTTCCAAAATTATTTAGGATCCCTGGAAATTATCAATTTATGGCGCCTGCACAGAGTGAAAATATACAAACAGTATAGCTGGTCTTATTTTAGAGGTAGGGATTAGGCCGTAATCATAGAGAAAGAAATGAAAACAATCAATTGTCTAATACTACTTACTACAATTATACCTATTCTATGCACTTTCCAATTTGAATCGGATGAAAAATTTACATATGGAAACGTTTTTTGCCACTTTTTATCATTTGCTAGTCCAGCTATCACGAAAGTAGTTTGGATCGACCAATTAAAAACATTGGGTTTGTTTCATTTTCATTATGGGTTAATACTAACAAAATTCAATTTGCACAGTCAATATTCTTTTGTTAAAACTTGTATTTGAACACATATTTAACAGTACACATAGTACAATGTAAAGTGAACAAATGTTGAGATTTCTCTTCCCCTAGTCCACGCTTTTGTGTTGCAGGATTGGCTTAGCCCGCTACACCCCTATTGAAATTTTCAAACGCTCCAGACTATAAATTGCATTAAGTTTTAATATAGGCTAATTGCTGCAAGTTATCTTGTCATGGGACATTTGTTTTTTAATAAAGGTAATAAAAGCACGCAAAAAATCCAACTGATAACTAAATAAGGCCAAATTACATGAAGAAAGAAGTCAAACACGGCCAACAATGATGTAAAACATCATTACAGTGTACGAAAGCAGCACAGAAAGCAACAAACAGTCTTCGTACCATTAAAAGGTCATTAAAATATATGGATATAGAGAGCTTTAAAATATTATATAAATTATATGTTAGACCCCACCTAGAATATTGTATTCAGGCTTGGAGCCCGGGCTTAAAAAAGGACATAAGTATACTGGAAAAAGTTCAAAGAAGAGCTACAAAATTACTGCCATATTTGAAAAATATGAGTTATAGTGAGAGATTAATCAAATTGAATCTGTATACCTTGGAACAACGGAGAGTTAGGAGATCTTATTGAAACTTTTAAAATTGTTAAGTCCTTTGAAGACGTGGATTGTGGAACATTTTTTATCTTTATCGAGGACACTAGCAGGAGAGGACATGAATATAGATTATACAAACCAAAACTTAACAATTTTTTGAAATGCAGAATGGAATTCTTCTCACATCGCGTAATAAACATCTGGAATAGCTTACCACAAGAGGTTGTTGCTGCCACAACTGTAAACACCTTCAAGAACAGACTGGACAGCTGTGGGGTCTTAAAGGCGTTTGCCTAACGTTTCCCACTTATATCAAGTATCAAGTAAGTAAGTATCAAGTATCACAAGTCAAGCAAACAGAAGTTTGACGTCATACCAGTGAATCGGACTATCACGCTTGAGAGATTTTTTTACCCCAAGAGAGGCAATCGTGGATTGGATCGATTTTATATTTTCTTATTTTTCGATAAAACTACCCAACCAATCATACTAAGTTTTATATCAGCTTCAAGCTTATTATATTCAATCCACGAATCCACTTGGGCCAATTCGAACAAAGAAATAGTCTGTGAGTGAGGGATTACGAAACGAGCTCGGAACAGCCAAAAACCTAAAATTTCTTGAAATTCCCTATCTAAATCGACGTGAGGAACTGTTATAAATCGGCGTATTCCGACAAAACTGTAGGGATTTTTAAATATTTTCTTCACGAATTGGTAGATTAATATTTTTTACAACATAATCCGCTTGGGCCATTACAAGAAAATCATAGATTATGTACCAAAAATGCACTTTTGTGGGAAAAATCCAGTTTTCTCCAATGGTTAAGGCGACCTTGGAGAGAAAATGATACAACATTTCCATATGCTTCATTGGAAGAGACAATGGACCTAATTAATCAAAATTACAACTTTTACAACATGATTGCTGAAGTTTACATTTATTATTTTCATTGTTCCACTGCGTTTAAGTAAAATTGCCATCGCTAGGCCTATATTTCAGAAAAAAAGAATGGTGACGGAACGTTAATAATATATTAAATTAAATATATTAACTTTCAAATGTCTGTATTGTAATGTCAATTGTATAAAAGTTAGAGTAGTGCCAAAGTGCGAGCCAGCGAGTCATGCGAGCCAATGCGCGAGTCATGCGAGCCATACATTTTAAATCTTTTTTTTTTTTCAGGTTATCCAATTTTGCAAACACGTAGGCTTAGCCTATATCTTTGTCCTAGTAGATGCAAATGAATAACACACTCTCCAACACATCAGGAGGCATGTGTAAAAAGTTCTCAAACGAACTCTCATCCAAAACCTGTCATCGCGGTGCATTTTAATATACTCCATTTTGCTAAAAACGCACCTTTTTGCGTCTGGCCCCATGTTTAGAGGTCATTAAAATCGAATGTAGGTAAGAATGGCCCCGGAAAAAATGGCCTCAGAAAAAATGGCCCCGGAAAAAATGGCCCGAGAAAAAATGGCCCCGGTAAAAATGGCCCCATATGACAGGTAGGTAAAAATGGCCCCAATGAAAAATTTAGTAATAGAAATGATATACATTTTTTTTAATCTTCAAGTATTTAAATACTGTATAAGCAAGAATTGAATCAAGAAATAAAAAATGGCCCTCAATTATAAAATTAAAGAAAAAAAAAATAAATAAACAAATGTTGTAAAATACCTTGTAGCAAAAATTTAATTAGTAAATCAACATAAAGAATATGCATATTTGAGAACTAAAATAAATTAGTTTTTAGCTCCTATGAGTAGCTCTGGGAGTAGGTCTAAGTATT